GTATACTCTCTTTTTTACTTGATAAGTCTGGCTTGGGGTTTATTTATTTTGTTTATTTTCTTAAAGAACCACGTCTTGCTTTCACTGATTCTTTCTATTGCTTTATTCTTCTTGATTTTATTTATTTCTGCTTTAATCTTTATTATGTTTCTCCTACTGACTTTGAGCCTCATTTGCTCTTCTTTTTCTAGTTTTGTTAATTGTGAATTTAGAGTGTTCATATGGGATTGTTCTTTCCTGAGGTAGGCCTGTATTGCAATATAGTTTCCTCTTAGCATGGCCTTTGCTGCATCCCACAAATTTTGTAGTGTTGAATTATTGTTGTCACTGGTACCCACATATTGCTTGATCTCTGTTTTTATTTGGTCATTGATCCATTGGTTATTCAGGTGCATGTTGTGAAGCCTCCATGTTTTTGTGGGATTTTTTATTATCTTTGTGTAATTTATTTATAGTTTAATATCTTTGTGGTCTGAGAAACTGGTTGGTACAATTTCAATCTTTTTGAATTTACCGAGGCTCTTTTTGTGGCCTAGTATATGATGTATTCTTGAAAATGTGGCATTTATGCTCAGAATGTGTATTCTGCTGCTTTTGGGTGAAGAGTTCTATAGATGTCTGTCAGGTCCAGCTATTCTAATGTGTTGTTTAGTACCTCTGCCTTTTTACCTATGTATTGTCTGGTTGAACTGTCCTTTGGAGTGAGTGGAGTGTTGAAGTCTCCTAGAAAGAATGCATTGCATTCTATTTCCCCTTTTAATTCTGTCACTATTTGTTTCACATATGTAGGTGCTCCTGTGTTGGGCACATAGATATTTATAATGGTTATATCTTCTGGCTGGTTTGACCGCTTTATCATTATGTAATGTCCTCCTTTGTCTCTTGTGACTTTCTTTGTTTTGAAGTCTATTTTGTCTGATACAAGTACTGCAACTCCTGCTTTTTTCTCCCTGTTAGTTGCATGAAATATCTTTTTCCATCCCTTTACTTTCAGTCTGTGTATGTCTTTGGGTTTAAAGTGAGTCTCTTGTAGGCAGCATATAGATGGGTCTTGTTTTTTTATCCATTCAGTGACTCTGTGTCTTTTGATTGGCTCATTCAGACCATTTACATTCAGGGTGATTATCGATAGGTATGTACTTATTGCCATTTCAAGCTTTAGATTCGTGGTTACCAAAGGTTCAAGGTTAACTTCCTTACCGAAGAGTCTAACTTAACTCAGTATGCTATTACAAATACAATCTAAAGGTTCTGTTTCTCTCCTTTTTCTTCCTCCTCCATTCTTTATATATTAGGTATCATATTCTGTATTCTTTGTCTATCCCTTTATTGACTTACAGGATAGTTGATTTAATTCTGCATTTGCTTAGTAATGAACTGTTCTACTTTCTTTGCTGTGGTTTTATTACCTCTGGTGACAGCTATTATACCTTAGGAACACTTCCATCTATGGCAGTCCCTCCAAAATACACTGTAGAGACGGTTTGTGGGAGGTAAATTCTCTCAGCTTTTGCTTATCTGGTGATTGTTTAATCCTTCCTTAAAATTTAAATGATAATCTTGCCAGATATAGTAGTCTTGGTTTGAGGCCCTTCTGCTTCATTGCATTAAATGTATCATGCCACTCCCTTATGGCCTGCAAGGTTTCTGCTGAGAAGTCTGATGATAGCCTGTTGGGCTTTCCTTGGTATGTGATCTTATTTCTCTCTCTGGCTGCTTTTAATAGTGTGTCCTTATCCTTGATCTTTGCCATTTTAATTACTATATATCTTGGTGTTGTCTTCTTTGGGTCCCTTGTGTTAGGAGGTGTGTGCACCTCCATGGCCTGTGAGACTATCTCCTTCCCCAGATTGGGGAAGTTTTCAGTAATTATCTCCTCAAAGACACTTTCTTTCTCTTTTTCTCTCTCTTCTTCTTCTGGTACCCCTAAAATGCGAATATTGTTCTGTTTGGATTGTTCACACAGTTTTCTCAATATTCTTTCATTCTTAGAGATCCTTTTTTCTCTCTTTGCCTCAGCTTCTTTGTATTCCTCTTCTCTAATTTCTATTTCATTTATCATCTCCTCCACCCTGGCTAATCTGCTTTTAATATCTCCCATTGTATGTTTCATTTCTGATACTATGTTCTGTAATGTTTGGATCTCCGACTGGAATTCATTCCTGAGTTCCTGAATACTCAGCCCCTGGAGTGATGTCTGTGGTCGCAGGGGACTGATGTTGCTGCTTCGGGGGATGAAAGATCTGTTTCCTGCTTCCCAGCTGCTATGCCTTTTTCCACTGTCAGAATCAGTGGGCCAAACACACAGGTATAAGCCTCTATGCTTTGCATTTTTAGCTGCTGTAGGCAGGTCTTCCCTCTGGCTAGCCTAACGCCAGGGTAGGGTTTGCCGGTTTGTGAGCCAGGTGGGGCTGGCAGGGAGGAAAGCACAGTAAGCTGTGTGTCATGGAGGGGGTCCCTGGAACTGCGTAGCCAGCCAGGGGACTGAAGCACCTCAAGATGGTGAAAGTTCCCAACCTGCTGGGTAGAGTGCACCTGGACAATTTTGTCTACCTGTCCTTTCTCCTGAGCAGTAAGCTCTGTGCAATCCTTGCCCCTTTAGCAGCCCTCTTGCTGTTAGGAAGTCTCTCAGACTGCCTGCCTTTCTTTTGTCCCAGAGCAGCCGGATATGGATCCCTGCTTTCCGTAAGTGGCTGGAATCTCAGTCTCTCCAGGTATTCTGCCTATCTTAGCTTTCTAACCCCCATAATCATGAGAGCACCATGAAATGTAGGTTTGTGCTCCCAGAGCAGATCTCCAGAGCTAGGTGTTCAGCAGTCCCAAGCCTCCACTCCCTCCCTGCTCCGTTTCTCTTCCTCCTGCCAGTGAGCTGGGTGGGGAGGGCTTGTGTCCCGCTGGACCACAGCTTTCATATGTTATCCTGTTCCATGAGGTTTATTCTTTTCTCCAGGTGTATGCAGTCTGGCGCAACCCTCTTTCCTGTTGCTCTTTCAGTATTAGTTGTATTAAATATGTTTTCATATTACATGTGGTTGTAGGAGGAAGCCTCTGTCTCACCTCTTATGCTGCCATTTCTCCCAGGCCTGGCTCTTGGCCAGGATGGCGCTGCTGTTACTCTTGCCTTTGCCATACATGCTTGTCTTTCCCATAGTTTTTTAAATAAAATGCCAGAATTTCAATAACCTTGCAAATTTTTTAGTTTTGATATACTTGCTGTTAAAGAGCAATGATTGGTTTTAATTGAAGTGAAATGTAATGGTAGGTGAATATTGTGTATCTGGTAAATTAGATCTTTACTTGTTAAAAACTATTCTGAATGACAACTTTGCATGTTCTAACAACAAGAAAATATCTTACATACATATCTTGGGCATCACTTGCAGATGGGTAAGCATAAGGAAGGAATTGTTTTCAGTTATGGAGAATAAACTATGGTACTTGATGGGGAAAGTGGAATGTTATCAAATCTATATAGACTCTTAAAAATGGTACCTGGGTTAAGATAGTTGTAGAGTTAACAACAGAAAATATTTAAAAGGAATCAAATACACACATATTGTCTTGGTTTTACACAGTGAAGCAAATGTTCTTCCTTTCTAATTCAAAACACTGCTTCAAGGCTTGTGGGTCTGAGACACAGATATTCGTTCATTGCTTCCAGACTATGAAGTCTCATATTAATGAGAAGTTCACTGATTGGCATGGATATTGGAAATTTGAGTTTTAATCTTCATAACTTAATAGACTTGATCAAGCAGTCAGTGAATTGGTCCCCAATTTCTTATTTGCCAAGTGGATTTCTAGAGAATCTTTAAATGAGTATGAATTAACCAAAGCAGACAAAATCCTTGCTTTCCAAGCTTCACCTAATTCATTTACTTGAAAAGTAGAAAAAATTTATTTCTTATTCATTTTGGGTACTGTTTGAATGTTCACTATAATTTGGTATAAATTTGTTTAAGATGTAGTTCTGTTCTTTCCCCCCCATCTTATTTAGAGCATGACTAACTAAGTTAAACATCATCTAAGACAATAATTCTCAACCTTGGCTGCACATTAGAATCCTCAAGGAACTTTTAAAAAAACCTCTCTCTGGAGACTAATTTAATTTGTCTGGATGGGGACCTGAGCATCTGTATTTTTAAAAGCTCCCCAGAAATTCTAATAAGCAGCCAAGGTTGAAAAGTTCTGGCCTAAGGCATAGCTAGTCAATATACTTTTGAATGAGAAATAAGGCAATTATTTTAAAACTACAGTTAGTACAGTAATATTGCAGTTTACTTTCAAATTCATTAATTTAAAATCTGTTAATTTGATTGTACATTCACAAGTTATTTCATCTAGAAATACTTTTTGCTTTGTCTATGTATTTGAGAAGGTTACTTTATTTTAATCACTTGTTTTGAAATGACAGCTTTATTTTTTTTATCAGAATCTGAAAGGCTTATGTTTTTGGAATAATCTAATTATCTTCCTGAGGGAATATTCAGCATACTTTCATGCCACAGTGCTTTAAATGCAAGGAAGCACTAGGTGATTTGAATCACTTAAAAAATTTTTATCCTGTAAATATAGTAATCTTAAATATTGTTATGAAACTATTTGGGATACTTTTCCTCTCCACTTCTTCCCCAGGATGCCCTCTGCCACCCACTTTAATAAGATTTACAATCTAATGTATAAGAAAATCATTTCTTATTAAATAATAAGTCCAAATTGTGCAACATGAACTTTCAGTGTTTCTAAAGTACAAATTCTTGGATCTAAGGGAAAAAAATAGCAACTCCTCCAAAGAAGAAAAAATCTTAATGAAATGTTCCCAGAAACTTTTAGTAGCTTCTACTTATAGTGGAGTGCTATTCAGAAAGGCTTAACATGTACCTGAGTTACGTACTATCAAAGACTTTTTTACTGAGCCTTTGAGGACTAAATGGGCTGTCTTAGTGATAGGAAAATGTGTCTAAAAGGCAATGGATTTGAATTTGCTTTTAAATTTTCAGGCATTATGACATTCTTGAAGACCGAGTTCCTTCAGGACTTATTGTTGATTACCGCAATCTGTTGTCTCAATGTGAGGAGAGTTACAGGAAATTTTTAAATCTGAGAAGCTGTTTGTCAACTTGTAACTCTGATTCTGAGCAGGAAAACATCTCTATGGTGGAAGGGTTAAAATTGTATTCAGAAATTGAACAATTGAAACAAAAGCTGAAACTCATTGAGAATCCTTTGTTGAGGTAAGTGTGTCTTTGTTATTCTTTGTATCTTTTCTAACCAGCTGTCTTACTGAGAACTAATAGGTCTGTTTGATTTCTTTAAGATATGTGTTTGGTTATCAGAAGAATTCTAATATCCAAGCAAAGGGCATCCGTCCAGATGGTCAGAAGGTCACCCATGTAGTCTCCTCCACCATGATGACTGGTCTCCTGCAGTCCCTGCTCAGGGACAGGCTTTGTCAGGAGCCTTGTAAGGAAGAAGTAGAAATTCAGGTAAAAGAGTTTCTTGCTCCATGTGGCTTTTTTCCCCTTCCCATTCACCCCAGGTTTTCCTGAACTCTACCAAGTATTTATTGGGTCTTCCCAGAGCTGGTTTTCTGTAAAATGGGGAGTGCAAAGAGTACTACTGCCTTTTATCAGCATGTGTTGGCCTCAGTGCAGTAGCAAAGGAGTTTCTTAAGTATGCAGTTTTGGCTCCCTTTTCAAAGTGAAACATGAAGACACTTGAAGTAATACTCAGGTTGCTTTGGGGGTATATTTGCAATATGCTGTTGTTTTCTAGTTTCACAGTGATCCATTGTCTGCTATAAATGCCTGCTATGAAGGTGACACCATTATCATTTGTCCTGGCCATTATGTGGTTAATGGCACATTCTCCATTTCTGACTCCGTTGAATTGGAAGGTGAGTATGGAAACCAAACTCTCATACATGATATGCTAAGAAAACAGTAAATCACTGCATCTTGTTGAAGCTCCAGAAATATGATTTCAACCCATTTGATCCCTAATGAGTTGCCTTGAAACATTAAGGGTATCTACAGGTGTACAGGGGATTGACTCTGTGTTTGAGCAATGTATAATATGGTTCTTTGTGGTGTTATATGTGTTGGGAAGATAATACATAGAGAAGAAAGACCACTAAGAAGAAGCATAGTCTACAGATTATGGTTGGTTTATGGAAAGGAAATCTCATTTCTAGAATAAAAAAATACTCCCAGGAATGTTTTTTGTTAAGTTTATCATTTTTTTAATTTGTTGCTTACTGTTTCTTTTTTGTTATGGACATATTGTTGCATGGTTTTTTATTTTAAATTTACCTTATTTTTGTGAGAGGTATAGGTCCAACTTGAAACTGGACCAGAAATCTTTATCTTAATTCTTTAAAAGCTTGCTGAATGTCACAAATTCTGCACTTTGTATCTTGACCAAAGTACTCTTGAAAACGTTAATGTTCAAAGAGTCTATTAAATATAACTTTTTGGCAGTTATAATTTTATTGTACCTTTAGAGTGATTCCTAAATTTAGGTGACTTTATAGTCATTCATCTTAGTCCTCTGTATTTCTATAACATGTCAAATTTAGATGCACCTGTTCAACTATTTACCAAAAGAGCTTCAAGTCAGCAATAAAGCTTGTAATGCAAAAAATCGTATATCATTTTGGGACTTGTGCAGCTGTTCACAAACTGCTTAAGCTATGTTCTTTATCTTGTCAAAATTTCTTAATGGGAACAAGGCTGGGAGCTTACTTTCCTGCTGTTCACTAGTACATCACCTCACCCCCTTTTTTGTTTGATGTGTGTAATTTCTTCTTTCTCCTTTCCAATATTTGATGTATAACAGATGTGTGTATAAAATAACACATCTGCAGGATAAATCACTACAATAAAAATATTTTATTTTTTGGCCTAGTAAAAATAGCATTGATATTATAGATTTTATGGTGGATAAGAGTTCTTCCTGGATTGGTGAGGAAATCATAATGAAATTGCCAAAATGTCATAAATAATTATGTAGAATTCTGATAGTTAAGTGTAAAAATGACTAAGTTTACTAACAGAGGGCATTTCTGAGAATCTGGGGAATCAGATGGTATATCTAGTGTGAATATATGGAATACTTGTTCATAAGTAAGATTAAAGCTTATCTGATAACTTATCTGATCTATAACACTTATAGCAAGAGTTAGTACCTACTATGTGCAGAGTCTTAACAGTATTTACAGTGGGGCTTTTTCTTAGTTTAGAATATCCATTCACTTATGTGATGGTTTTATGTCTCAAACTGCCAAGAACACATAGCCTGTTTATGTAATAATCTTAGTTTTTTCCTCTCAATATGGCAATACTTTTTATATTTTTAATTTTTCTGATGATAAAAGAACAATGGTTATTGTAGAACATGTGCAAAGTACATGCAGAGACATAGAAAGAAACAAAAAAATTACTCATTATCCAGTCGTCTGGAGTCCACCACTGGTAGCATTCCTGTGTGTGGAGTCCTCTTGGATTCTCTGGTGCCCTGAAGGCTTGTCTGTACTCTTCAGGGATAGAAAATTCCAGTGGCTTCATCTGTTTAATGTAGTTACTCTTTCATTTACTCAAGCACAGATTCATCTTCAGATGGAGTTATTTCTTGCAATTTTATGTCTGTGTGGTTCTGTTTTTTGATAGAAGTCAGACAAGTTCTTTAGTTTTCTGATACTCAAGTTTTTTGTAAGTCCATTCAGAGGTCTGGCCTGCATTGTTTGATTAAGATTTGTAGAGATCCAATGCTTTCTGTTGGTTAGTAAGCAAGACCAATTTTTCCAATAGCTAAAACTGTTTTAAGTCAGTTTGTGCCAGATTTTAAGTCAATCTGTTTAAGAGATTATTAAACTCAGAATCCTAAGAAATGCTAGACTTTTCCAAACCTAATTTATATGAGAATAATAGAGTCTTGTAAGGGCTTAATGCTTTAAAAAAACCCTTTGACTCAGCTGTGAATACTTAGGAGATGATTTATTTCCTTATAGCAGTTTTATAAGTGAATTTATTGCTGAGCTGGTCTGAGATGGATGATAGGGTGGGTAGTCTTTCCGATACAGTGGCAAGTTGAGGAGTTGTTATTAAAAATTGTATACCCTAGTTTAAATAAGATATGTGAGAGATAGGTTTTATTTAAATGTAACTTGATTGACTAGTCTCAAATATCATTTGGGCTCATTTGAAATAGAGGAATCTGTCATAGCAATTTTCTGTTTAGACATTTCCCCTCAGCCATATAAAATTTTCTTGCTCTTTCCTTAGGATATGGTCTACCAGATGACATTGTGATAGAAAAGAGGGGCAAAGGAGACACTTTTGTGGATTGTACGGGTGTGGATATTAAAATTTCAAGCATAAAATTTGTTCAGCATGATGCTGTAGAAGGAATCTTAAGTAAGTATTTGAGTATTTCATGTATATTTGTTTAGGCTTTGAAGAAAAGCTTTACTTTCCCAGAAGATACAATTTAGTAAAATATTACTCTGTAGTATATGGAAGGCTGATCATTTACGTACATAACATGATGACTTAGAAAGCTTACTCTAAAGTAAAAAATAGTTCAGCTTATTCTTAAAAATTTTTAAATTTAATATTGGTTTTTACGTGATCATTTTTTTTGTTTTAAAACATCCTATCTTGTGGTCTGTGTTCTTTGTAATCAATTTAGCCCTGACTCAAACCAGCTATCTCACGTGCCACTGTTTGTTTCCTAGGGTCTGTGTACCCTTTTTTTTTTTTTTTTTTTTTAAGATTTTTTTTTTTTTTTTTTTGCGGTTTTTTTTTTTTTTTTTTAAGATGGAATCTTTTACTAATCATAACACTCTCTGAGATCTATCCAAGTTGTTGCACATACCAAAGGCTTGTTCCTTTTTCTTACAGGGTAGTATCCGGTGGCATGAAGTTTAGTAATTCACCCATTAAGGGACATTTTGATTGTTTCCGGTTTGGACCCATTTAGAATTAACCATCCATAAACATTTGTAGGCTTTTTGTGAGAATATAAATTTTCACTTCTCTGGAATAAATGCCAAAGAGTGTGATCGTTGGACCATACGGTCCTTTTTAACTGAGCCCTTTTTAACTATGCTCTTTTCCAGAGCAGCTATGCCCTTTTACATTTCCAAAAGCAATGTATGGGTGATTAGTTTCTCCACCTCCTTGCCAGAATCTGCTCTTGCCACTGTTTTTCATTTTAGCTATTCTAATAGACATGTGATACCCTCTCATCAGAGTTCTAATTTATATTTCCCTCATGGCTAGTGATGCTACATATCTCTTCATGTGCTTATTTGCCATCTGTATCTCACCTTCAGTGAAATGCCCCTTCAAGTCCTTTGCCCATATTGAACTAAATTGTTTATTTTTTTACTGCTGAATTCTGAGGATTCCATCTATATTCTAGACACCAGCACTTTGTCTTTTGCAAGTATTTACTCCCAGTCTGTGACTTGTCTTTTGCATAGCATTTTTCATTTTGATGAAGTCTAATTTATCTATTTTTTAAATTTATTATGTTTTTGGTATTACATCTAAGAAATCTTCATCAAGCTTTCAGTCCCCCAAATTTTGTCCTATGTTTTCCTCTGAAAGTTTTTATAATTTTACATATACATTTATATCCATGATATATGCTGAGTTGGTTATTGTACAAGGTCCAAATTTTAGGCTGAAGTCTTGGGGGCTTTTTGCCCATGGATGTCCAGTTGCTGCAGCACCATTTGTTGAAAAGATTCTCCATCTGCCATTGGCTTGCTTTTGCACCTTTGTCCAAAATCAGTCTGGCCATACTCATGAGGGGCTATTTCTGGGATTCCCATTCTCTTCTCTTAGTCTTTGTGTCCACCCCTCTGCGAGTACCATAGTCTTGATTACTATAGTTGCAGAGTACGTCCTGAAATACAGTGATTTCTCCTATTACTTTCTTCTTTTTCAAAGAATTTTAGCTATTCTAGTTCCTTTGCTTTCCATATAAATTTTAGAATAAGCCTGTCTGTGTGTACAAAATATCTTGGGGGCTATTGATAGGAATTGCATTATAGCTATTTATTATTTTGGAAATAATTGACATTTTTCCTATGACGAATCTTCCAGCCCATGAACACAGTACATCTCCCCATTTATTTTGATCCCTTTTGATTTTCTTAATCAACATTTTATAATTTTCAGCATACATGTTTTGTACACGTTTTGGTCATTCATGCACAATATTTCTTTTTTGAGAGAGAGATTATAAATGATATTGTACTTTAATTCTGCTTTTCATGTGTTGTTTGCTAATATACAGAAATATATTGACTGTTATGTGTTGATCTTGCATTCTGCAACTGTACTAAACTCACATATGATCCTAGGAATTATTTCAGTTTTGTTTTGTTCTTGGATATCCTTTGGCATTTTCTCTATAGACCATTATGTCCTCCGCAGAGACAGTTTTATTTCTTCCTTTCCAATCTATATGACTTACTTCCTTTTCTTGCCTTACTGTGCCACATAGGATTTCTAGTACTGTAATGAATGAGTAAGACTGGGGAAAGCAGACATCCCTGCCTTGTTCCCAATCTTATGAGAAGACAGTCTTTCACTATTAGAATGATGTTAGCTGCTTGTTTCTTAAATAAATATTCTTTATCAGGTTGAGGAATTTCTCCAGCATCCCCAGTTTTTCTGAGCCTTTTATCATGAATGGGTGTTTTGTCAAACGGCTTTTCTGTATCATGTACCTGCTCATGTACCTGTTTTTCTTTAGCCTTTTAATATAGTGGATTACACTGACTGAGTATTGAACCAGCCTTGCATCTCAGGAATAAACCTCATATTCTATTTGCTAATATTTAGCTAGGGATTTTTTGCATTTATGTATGTGAGGGATATTGGTCTGTAGTTATATTTATGTATTTTTGTACTATATTTGTCTGGTTTTGGTATCAGGATAACACTGGTCTCACAAAATGAGTTAGGAAGTATTTTCTCCTCTTCTAATTTCTGGAAGGGATTATGTGGAATTGGCATTAACTCTTCTTTAAATATTTGGAAGAATTCT